ATCAAAGTTGGTATTCAGTCTCAAACAGCAAGACAATAGTGCAAAGGATGCTGGAGTAAATATGTTTGTGTACATGTGGTAGGTGGATAGGAGATATACAGTCTGAACACACCAGATACAGTTACATTACTTTGTCCAAGCATCCATGTGACAGAAAGTGCAGAAAATACATGCATTTATTTTTCTTATTATTTTAAAATATTCATTTTAAGAAACACTACATGGAGTCAGGTTTTGGTAATGTCAGCTAACCGTGAATGGCATTGTCATTTGGTTTCACAGTAAAGGTCTACCATAGCTTTGACATTAAAATGCATTCAGTCTGAAGCACAGACAATGTGGATGTGTAACATCTACAATAACCTATACCACTTGATCAGATTGGTTCAGCACTAAGAAAGGCCTGGCTCTCTCTTCATTTGAGGTAAATAGAGCTATTTTAGAATTTACAATTTGACTACTACCGCTGCTAGCGTAGAGCTATAGCACCGCTGCAGCCTCTGCTTTTCCTCTTGTCATAGACTTGCTTTTCAACTGCACTGTCTGTCTTCCATCCTCATGTTTATTCTTCCTCATTCTCCTTTTCATCCTCCATTTCCTGTCCGTCTTGTATTTGTTCTCTGTATTCCTCCTTGCCTCCCTCGCCCCTACTCCTGCTCCTCGCTCCCACCGCTAACCAATTTACATCCCTCATCTCCCACTCATCTCCTTCCGCACTGTTTGTTTTTCCTCTCTCTCTTTTAGTGTTGTTTGCTCTTTGTGTGTTCCATCACCTCGCTCTGCCTCTCCTCCGAGGGTAAGACGTTTGTGTCGTCTGCCTCTCGTACATGTAAAGGAGGACGGTGGATTGTCTTGTTGTCGTGTCACTAGCCTCTCTGTTAAGGGTGGTGAGCTGCATGTGTGTTTTGTTGTGTGTAAGCTTTGTTGGTTCCAGGTTTCATCATTTCTGCATGGGTAGTCAGCGATGCAGTGCTCCCCAGGGTTTGAATGAAATTGTTTTTGGGAATTCAGTACAAATATTTTTACACCGAAGCCGTTGATAGCTGGTGTTTTGTGCCAGCATTCACTATTTTTAATAAAAGAAAATCTGTTTAAGTTGTTATAAGAGTATTTGGATCATTTTTCTTACTTGATAGTTTATAGCAGAGGAAGGCATGAAATGTAGTGATAACGAGGGGGGTGTTATGCAACAAAAGTCCGTACACAGGGATGCTGGGATAGAGGGGACACATCTTAAGGCCTCTACTCTTCAATCTTGGCCGTCTCAAATGGGAGCTCTGTCACAGCTGTGAGAGAAATGTGGAGAAATCTCTGGTTTTCAATCTAAAGTGATTGTCCTAGATCGCACCGTGAGACAATTCCTTGATGGCTGATTTAAAGCTTTTGCTACAAAAGGCAGCCTACACAAAAATTGTCAGTGGCAGAATTCACTCACAATGTGACTGCTGCTACCACCCACATCTACAAACAAACCAATCAGCACATGGCAGAATACATAGCGCAGGTTGAGCATGTCTCTGCTTGCGTATTTTTGTTTCTATTTACATCGTCAACCTACGATTCACACAATCTGACATTTCTATAAATGAACATTTTACAGTTTCACCCACATTATGACCAATACTAACAGTCCAAGTACTGTAGACCCGAAGAGGCCAAACCGGATAAAATTAATAAAGTAGTACGATAAAGTTTGGAAGATATGGAATCATACAGGTAAGTTAAAAGTCAGTTTGAAGAGGTGTGTTTTTAGCTGATGCTTATAAAGATGAATAAAATACAGAATTAGTGGAGCAAAAGCTCGCACTTAACAGTAAATCTCGACTAAAGATTTGTGAGAAGAGCTTTTATTTGCTGCCTTGTGTGTTCCCTCGTATGTATGGGCTTAATGATGAATAGAATTTTGAGCTGTATTCTTGAAGCCGTTGGACATCACTAAAAGCGTGTATCCTCTTCTCTTAGAGTGAAAAGCATTGCAGCTTCCTTTTAGACCAATTTGCAGACTTAGACAGATTTGCTCTTTTTTGTGCTAAAGTGCTAAATGGGGTTACAAAAATGAAGAAGGGATGAAGTGGAAGCACAAAAACATTTTTGTAGCTCAGTGGCAGACAAAAATGGTTTGATTGTCGAGATACTTGCCAACTGGTGAAAACAAGACAAAATAACTCCTTGTACTTGGTTGTCAAAGCCTCGATTTGAACAACAAATTGCAGTCCAGTGGAAGCATAAGTCAATCAGGTCTATTGAAATAATTCTTGTCTGATAGACTTGATGAGAGCGGATGATAATATTTTCTGATTAAAGTTCTGTTTTATGCCATATTAATAGAAGATATCTCTTGAAGATATCTCTTGAAAGCCATCCTTAGTTTCGGAATGAGCTCAGCGGAATTCCTCTCTGAGAAACTTGCCCTTTAAGTTTCACCATGAAAAGCGCATTATTTGCTTATTATTGCGTTGTCATCTTTTTTTCTTCCTTCCACATTGTTTGACCTGTTATTGTGCAGGTGCTGAAGGTGGTAGAGATCTACAAAAACTAAATGTCATGCCTCTGTGTGCGTGTTCAGTACGCTGTTTCCCTTTTGTGATGTCAGTCGGTACTGTCCACTTAATATAAGCCGCATGCAAAGCATAAATACCCGATACACAAGCTGCTACCTGCTTTCTAACCACTGCTTATCGTCTCATCAAGCACTTTTTATAATGGCATTATCTCATGCTTTGATGTAATTAGTATGCCACGGGTACCCGGGGGATCTTATGTCCACTTTCATGTACCTAATGAATATTCATATACAGTATTACCATTTCTGGCAGCTAGTTTCCTTATCTTGATCACTTCAATTCAAAATGACTATCATCTGTCATTTTTTATAACATTAGGTGTTGAGTCTTTGTTACCTTGAACTTCATCTGGAGATGTTGTGATCTAGTATCCTCATAACCTTTTATGTTTAAAAAAAAAAGAAGCTGGATGGGACCTCACTGTCAATGAAAATAACTATAAAATAAAAGAAGGTATTCAAATAATGACACGCGGTAAATTCAGCGTAATGTACATTTCCGTAGCACCCATTCCATCAGTACAGCAGTTAAGTCAAGTCATTCTCACCACTCTATTGCTCAGAAACACTGTTCTTTTAACCATCTGAATCTTTCTTGGCCTTGTCATTATGCTCTTTAAGCTGCTGGAAGGCTTTTAATCTTTCTGGACTGCATTTATATGTATTAAAACAGCAAAGTAGAAGTGATTTGGAATGAAATAGTAAACAAGAATAGTGTGACAAAATAATGTCAACTAAAAGTCCACCTATTAGCTTTTTCTGAGCTTTCAACCGCATCTCATGGTTTTCATCAGTGAATGGACCTGACTCCAGATTTCATCTTGGCAATGTTGAAGTGTTGAATGTGAGACACTTTGACTTTGACTTTGATTTTGACTTTCCATTCAGTGCTCTTCCCGTTTTCGGTCAAAGCTCAGAGAAAACTAGTAGGTGGACCTTGAGAGTGGTTATCGATTGATGGCCTCCCCTCCCAATTCCGCTTTCTCTCTCTTCAAACACAACTCACAATATGTCGCCAGCCGTTTGTCAGCTGTATCACTTGGTGTCATCCAGGTGATGCAGCTGACTAAAGGAAACTCAACGTGTCTGCCAGCATTTCGAGAAGAATATTGGCAGCATGTCCATCCAAATCCTGAACATACAGCGGGGAATTTAAGCCTTTTAAGATTTTCGTGTTTCTTTCTCCTCTGTCTCACAGTAGCTGTGTGGGATGTAGCATTGAAAAGCTATGTAATCTCATTTTTGTAACACTGTGCATGGTTGGAAATGTCTGAAATCAAATGGACAGGCATAACATAATGTGTTTTCGTGTTGCTCTCTCCCTGCAGATACTCTTAATGGAGGTGTCCTCTTTTCAGAGGAGATTTATGTATTGTGTTTTGACCATGTATGAGTTTGGCTGATAATGATGTGTATATGGTTTTTTTTGAGCACTGTGCTTGTACATCTATTTTGTGCTATAAAAAATGTTTCCCCTAAAAAGGTCCTGTGTGTAATATTTAGGAGGATCTGTTGACTGAAATACAATATAATATCCATAACTATGTTTTCAGTGGTGTATAAAGACCTGACATAATGACCCGTTATGTATTTATTACCTCAGAATAAGCCATTCTATCTACCTACACCACGGGTCCTCTTACATGGACATCGCTATGTTGCGCCGCGATGTTTCTACCGGAGCCCAAATGGACAAACAGCTTTACAGAGCGTGTTTTGTCACTATGTTGAATATGTACAAGTGGAAGGAGAAAAAGAAGTAGTAGCAGCAGTAATCATCTGTTTTATTAGAAGTAAGAAGAGACATGTAGACAAATAGAGCACCACACATTTTTTAGCACAAGAGCTGATCGTTCATCAGTGGTGATAAATAATTTGAAGTATATATTTTATGAACATTTACAGTCTTTAATATTTTAATACACTTAGTAGAAATACCATTCCTTGACATTCAGTAAATATATGTGGTGATAAACGCGTTTGAAGTGTCTGAAAAGTACCTAAAGAGGTGGATGCATAATTTGGCAGAAATGATTTTTTAGCCTCTTTTCTCAGCATAAGTTACGTTATCGCCGACGAGGTGCATACAATTGTCAGCAGGCAGGCAGGCAGGCAGGCAGAATTCGGCACCGGCAGCAGTAGTGTGGCATTTGTTTGTATGATTTTATTGTTTTGGTTCGGTAGCTTTTATATTCTACAGTTTCTAGTGATGTAAAGCAGACCCGCAGCTTATCTGTACCCTGGTGTTGCATTCTTGGACTGGTCTCCACAAGCCACAGAGATCATGTTACTTACCACTGGCATGGAGTGGCAGGCACTCGTGTTGTCGGGACGGTGACCCTCCAAATAAAATCCAGTACACCAGAGACGTTCTGCTTGGATTCAACAACCCTATGAACACCCGCCACCTTTTAACTTGGTGTTCCCTAACTTTGAGGAGCTTGATCATGGCTCGGGGAAGAGAGGTCACGCTGGCGCACCTCTCCGCACAGTGAGGAAGCGGGGCCGGAGAGGAGCGAGACGGCAACCGTTGGAGCGCATCGCCCTGGCTTCCATTATAATGGCCAATGCCCGGTCCCTCCGCAACAAGATCGACGATCTCCAGGCCCATGTCCGTTATTATAAATTTAAGGAAGCTTGCATCCTGGTGCTGATGGAAACAAAGCTGGGGAAGAATGACCTGGACAGCGAGATGGCTATGGACGGGTTTGGTGTGCCGAAGCGTACGGACTGAGAGGATGCAATCACCAAGAAGTCGCAAGGTGGGGGTGTGCGTTTGTACATCAAGGAACGCTGCCGCCTGGACTGTACGGTGTGGGAGGAGTTCATTACATAATTTGAGGACCTGGATGAGCTCACAAATGTTTTGTGTTCCTGGATCTCATACTGTGAAGATACTGTAATTCCAGAGATGTAAAGATTTACCCCAAAAGTAAACCTTGGGTGAGCAAACATCTAAGAAAAAATATACTTTTAAACATGGCAGTGTCACTGAACTAAACTCTATACAAAAATAGATCAAACGGGAAATAAAGAGGTGTAAACTCGATGTCCACGATTTTTGTAAAGAAACGGGTGCATTAAGGGACAGTCTAATTAACTCTTTTTTTCCTGAACGCAATGTTGTGAACACTTGGCCCTGGCCCCGACAACGTTAGCAGATGCGGCTACTACCCATTGTGCGGACCAATTAGGCTTCATTTTTTATCATATTTTTAACCTGTCTTTGTGCCAATACAGAGTCCCAAACATATGGAAACAATCTACAATTATTCCCATCGCAAAAAGCAACCACCCCAAAATTCTGAATGACTACAGACTTGTGGCTCTAACTTCATTAGTCCTTTGAAAAACTGATAAAGAAAGAACTGCTGGGTAGGACTGAACACCTCCTCGACCCCCTACATGTTGCATACAGAGCCAACAGGGGGGTGCAGGACACTACCATAACTCTGCTCAACCTCATATACAAGCAATTACAAGGTCACAAAAAACATGCCAGACTGCGGTTTGTGGATTTTTCGTCTGCCTTCAACACCATCCAGCCACATTTATTGGTGCAGTAGCTCATAAAATTTCGTGTTGGAAATGCAACCTTTTGGGCTGGATTTTGGACTTTCTCACTAAAGCTCTGCTTTAATCTTGAGAAGCAGCAGAGCTGCAGTCTCTATTCATTCACCCTACACTGTAACTTTCCAGCTAAACTGAGGCTTATTGTTGACCCTATTCTCTCTCTCTCAATTCAATTTAATTCAATTCAATTCAATTCAAATTAGCTTTATTGGCATGAATGTGTAACAACAATATTGCCAAAGCATCATACATACAACATGAGAACAATCAACCCCATACATTTCATTAAACAAGTAATTAAAGTGTAAAGTAATCAAAGCGTATGTGTGTTTGTTAAAAAAAATGAAGAAATATAAAAAATTTAAATAAAATAAATAAATAAAACAGCAAGCGTGTGTGTGTGTGTGTGTGTGTGTGTGTTAAAAAATAAAATAAATAAATAAAACAGTAAGTGTGTGTGTGTGCTTGTGTGTGTTAAAAATAAAAATATATTAAAAATAAAATAAATAAATAAAACAGTAAGTGTGTATGTTAAAAAATATATATTAAAAATTTAAATAAAATAAATAAATAAAATGGTAAGCGCGTGTGTGTGTGTGTGTGTGTGTGTGTATGTTAAAAAAAATAAAAGTATCTTAAAAATAAAATAAACAAAACGGTAAGCGTGTGTGTGTTTTAAAAAATATATATATTAAAACTAAAATGAATAAATAAAACAGTAAGCGTGTGTGTGTGTGTGTGTTTAAAAAAAAAAATATATATATATATTAAAAATTAAAATAAAAATAAATAAATAAAAAGGTAAGCGTTTGTGTTAAAAAAAATATATTAAAAATAAAATAAATAAATAAAACAGTAAGTGTGTGTGTATATATTAATAGACACATTTTTTTAAAAATAATTAATTGATTAAAAAAATATTATTTAAAAAAAACTATGTGTTAAATGTAAAAACAAAACAATTACTAAAATATCAAAATAATAATAATTTGAAAATCTGTACAATTATTTATCAGTCTGAGGTTCCACTGGTACCATATTACCATATTTTGCAGCAATTATTTCACATTTGGGCATTTCTCCCAGTAAATAGGGGAGTTTCTGTGTGTCTGATATGAATTCGAATTCAGGGTATATTTGGGAAATGTTTGCAAAGTGTTTTTGTCTTTGTGTTTTATATTTAGGGCATGAGGTTAGAAAGTGCAGCTCTGTCTCTACCTGTCCCCTGTCACACTGGGAGCAGAGTCTCTCCTCTTGTGGTAGCCAGCTCTGTCTGTGGCGACCCTTTTCTATGGCCAGGCTGTGTTCACTCAGTCTGTATGTTGTCAACATTTTTCTTAGTGTGGGACATTTTATTGTACTCAGGTAATTTGCCAGTGTGAATTCTCTTTTTAGGGTCAGATAACATTGTAATTTACTTTGTGTTTTGGTCGTTTCTTTCCAGTATTCAATATATATTTCTTTCTGCTTGTTGATAATTTGGTTTGGTCTGCTTGAGTTGGTGTTGCTGTCCTGAGGCTGTTGGGGACTTGTTACTGCAGAGAGCCTCAGGACCAGCTGGCTGAGGGGACTCTTCTCTGGTTTCAGCTCCTGGTATGTTAGGGCTTTGTGATGATATGTCTGGGGGTTAACTGATTTTAAGTGATTGTAAAATTTAAGTGATCTTTTCTGTATTTTTAGTAAGAGGGGGTATTGGCCGAGCTCTGCTCTGCACAGGTTATTTGGTGTTGTTCTCTGCACCTGCAGGATGCTCTTACAGAACTCAGTATGGAAAGATTCTATGGTTGTTTTGTCCCATTTGTTAAATTCATTATTAAGTTTTTGCCCCCAGATTTCGCTACCATATAGAATTATTGGTTCTAGTACAAATAGGAAAATTTTCAGCCAGATTTCAATTGGAATATATATTTTAATGTTTCTTTTTATTGCATAGAAAGCTCTCTTTGCTTTGTCCGTCAGATCTTTCACGGCCATGTTGAAGTTCCCTGTGTATGTAATGTTGAGGCCAAGGTAAGTGTAGTTCTCTCTCTCTCTCTCTCTCGCGCGCGCGCCTGTCATTCACCGGTCTTGTGTAGAGTTTAGCGTGCATGCCATGCTGCCTACAACTGGATGCATGTCGCGGTTCCTCGCAGGTCTATTTCAAATAGCGGGCTATTTAAAAATGTTATGCAATATTCTTTATGTGGTTCATCAACGGTGATAAATTATCCGAAGGTCCCGCGAGGTGCGAACAAATCAGCACAACACCGGTGAAGCTGGGGCTCCTTCTCTTCAGCAAGTGTTCCTCCACTGCCCCTACCTACACGCTACGCCTACACATGCACACTGACGACCCAGGGTTAGGGTTACAATTAAGGATTTTTTCACTTTAAAAACATTTATTGAGTTTTTTTCTTTTTACATGTTTATTTACAGCATTAAACATTGAAATGTATATTGTAATAGGCTGTATATTAACTTATTGGGAAAAAACGGGTAGTTCTATGTAAAATCAGACGTTGAGCACCCCCATATCGCCAAAATAGCATGATCCTTGTTTTGCTGCGAAGCTTCGACTGTGAGATTGACTGTTGAATCAGGCTCCGCCCATCGAAGCATCGAATCTTCAACTATATGTCGAAGACCCATATGTCTGACCCTTTATTTTTTAATCAATGTTGTTGTCATTGTTGTCCTGTACTGTATGTCATATTCTTTGCTACTGCAGCAAAACTAATTGCGCCTCGGGGACAAATAAAGGTCTTGAATTGAATTGAATTACTGGTTTAACATCCACTGTGTAAGGAGGGCGACCCGCCAAATGGGAAGCCAAAATCTAGAATGAGACAATTCCTTTGAATAAATAAATGCTGCTAGAAATGGAGCGTTGCATTAGTTCAAGCAGCGAACTGAAGTCACAATTGATTTGCTGACTGGCATCTGACTTGCATCATTCATGCTTTATATATCAGCTGCTCGCAAAATTAAGGAAGTTGTTTTGCAATTCTTCCTCCACCCCGTCGTGTGCATCAAGGCTTTTGTTATTGTTGATGTGTTTAGGAGATTAGTTCTCCCAGCAAAATTCTCTGATTCTTTGAGAGTTTCCTCAAATATCTTTTTTGTTAAATCTAACTATAGTCATTAACTATAAATGGCCAATTCATTGAAGTGTCTCTGACTGAAAAAACATGGTTGAACAATGAACTGGATTACATATGCAAAGAAAATCTTTATAATTAAATAGGTAGTTTAGTCAGCAAGGGCTTTTTTTGTAGTGGGATGGTACCAAAAGCCCTAATATCTTAAAAAGTCAGTTTTCCCCTGACTAGTTTCGTTAATGCTTTCCCTGTGATACCTGGTGTTTCAGATTGTTGGTCAATATGAATGCACAGCGCAAACCAACCTTTTGCTGCTGTACACAAACGACCTTCCTGCTGCTTCACGTTCTGCTGTTCAGGCTTTGCTGCAGTCCCAACACACATCAGTTCACAGCCAATGCATTCCTGATTAGGCGTGGACACGGTAATTGTTTTCATTGCCTTGGATTGGAACGACATTGAATTTAATGTGGTCCATCGATCTTTTGTTGGGGGGAAATTGGGTTTGTTACCAGCTTTGTAGATCTCTCATTGCCCACGTGTTAACCTTTTATACTCTCTCCGCCACTTTTTCTGTCAAATCTCACTCAGTCTTTATCTAGCTCTGTCCTTCCTTCATCATTCTTCTGTCTTATTCTCCAACTAATCACTACCTCCTTCTCCTTCCTTCTATCTGTCTTGTTTTTTACTCCCACCTATTCCTCCCACAGTACCTTTTTTCATATTCCACTCTCCTAATTTGCTTTCAGTTTAGAAACTCAATTAGTATGATTACGTATCAGAAACAGTATTGCCAAAGCAGTTTACCACTGCCAAACGGTTGAAAAGTGTAAATGGAAATATTTGGTATTTTCTACTCAATATATGACCAGAAACCTTCCAGAAGCTAAATCTCTGTTTGATCTGGAAATACAGTGCTGTCTTTCTATTTTCTGCTATAAAACAATTGAGCAGATTTCCTACTAGTTGTAACTTGTGGCATACCACAAATATGCAGAGCTTCTTCTTGTCTCTAAATTTCAGGTACTTGGATTAGGTTTTTTGTAAACAGGTATGTTTACATTAATGTTTCTTTCCATAATGT